AAGTTCAAGACGAAGTTACCAACTTACTCACCTCGAAAGCGTTGAAAGAGTTCCATTTTTTCGTCGATCTAGCTTAATCGACTTCTTGAGCTTTTCTCCAGATGCTAATTCATCTGTTCCACAGAAAAACATATCCGCAAACGTATCCACCCTTCTTGAAGAAGTTATCTCTAAATCAGGACGCAATAGCGCGATTTAATCTACCAAGTAGTTTGCAAAATCACCTTGGACGTTATTGCTACGATAGTCAAGTTGATTAGGAAGGTAAAATCTCTTGCGTTCTTCCAGTTCGCGTCTCATATCTACAACAGTTGAGGAGCGAACTTTCGGCTTGAAAACAGCTGAAAAGAAAAAAAAGCTATGATCTGTTAAAAAATCTAGCGAAGGATTTAAAAATACATTTCTTCATAATCGCAGAAGGTACGAGAAGATCTTGCGAAGGCACATACTTGGAATCGGGAAAGGTGGATAGACACATTAGGTTTCCCGTAATATTCGTCTAAAGTAAGGTACACAGGCATAAATGTCAACTCTGTCATTTCTTTATGCGAGAAAAGGTAACTTACTCGCTGTAAGGCCTGGACTTTTCGGTGTATCACCTCTAACCTTGACTGCAACTCCTCGCAGGAATGATTCACCGCATCTATGCGTGACGTGATCCGCGTAAAGAGACTATTTGAGTTCTGCAAACATTTGTAAAGTTGATGGCCATTAGTTGTTAAGAGAGCATGGCTTTTGAACCAAGTTCGCACAAATTCAAACCTCCTGGAATGCCTTTAGATGAGTGATCACCCAAAAGACTGCCTCTTCTTGGCCAAGATCAGCAGGGGGGAGGTAAATCATTTAAACTAAAATTAAGGTTTAGGTAAGAACGATTCTAACTAACCACGCTTGCAAAGAACAGGTGGTCAAACCACTGATGAAAGGGCAGGAAAAAAGTTCCAAATTTATTCCTAATTTAATTAATACAAATTGCAGAATCTTGCGACTCAATCAATCACGTCGAGAGAGATAATTTAAAAGGAGGTGATTCAAATCAACTAGCTCGTGCATTTCAGGATATTCTCATAGACATGTCTCGACACATTCAACGACGCATGGATAGGAGAAAAGCCAGGTTCCCGCAACAGTGAAAAAGCAGCCAATGAAAAGTAGGTATGAAGAAGATCTGAAAGGAGAAGGAGATGGAAAAAACCTAAACTGGCAAAGTACCTATAACTATCTGCACATTTAATTTCGAGTAATGGAGAAGAAACATAGATGTAGGTGGCACGAACCTGGAAAGCCAGCTGGGTCCGGAACTTTGCAAAAGCCACCAAGTGCTTGATGTTGGGCGATAAGCAGGAAGGATCGAAGCTTATCCTTATCCAGAAAGTGCTCAGCATTCAAAATCTAAAACATAGTGATAAGCAAGGTAGAACAGACAGAGAAATGAGCACAGTCAGACAAATTATAAAAATATTACTCCAAAACATCTTCCATCTATAATATCTACTGCAGATTTTTTGAACTTTCATAGGTATGAACGTCTCAAAAAAATCAAATCGGTAACTAATTTATCTATAAAAGAGTCTATGTTGAATAGCTTTATATATTTAGTAAAAACGTACACTAGATTTCTTTGTCAATTCATTACAAACATGATTCAAGATATACAATGAAAGAAAGTGAATAATTTTACCTCTAAAGTAGCTCCTATCCAGAATGCATAACAACTGTCATCATCCTTATGAGCTCTTCCATGAAAACCGTGATCGTGTTTCCACAAAGCCCATCTTACTAATCGACTGATTTCATTTCGCGTCAATACTGACTCATCCCAAAGGCGATTGGATAGAGAGAGTGATGCAATAGCGCAGAATGTCGATCCTCCTAGAATAGAGTCCTTTTCCAATCACATATAAAACGGTAAACCATCCACATACCATGGCTTTCGTCTCCAGGACCTTGACCAATTCCGCCATCGTAATTTAGGCTAGCTCTTATAAAATTCCTCAATGAGGTCCAATCAACATGAGAATAATCTTGTAATATATGGCAGATTGCAACCGCACAAAATACAAATCGCATGTCACTCTCGGACCCGTGCCCTTCGCTCCAGAAACTAAGAAAGCCGATTAGGACGTGCACAAAAATGACAAACCATACCTTCCATCCTCTTTTTGAGAGGCTCTCACTGACTCAAGAATGGCTTTTTTATTGAGGCCTTCAAAGTTATCGCCAAGAATTGCTAAGCACAGAAGACCACTAAAAATGCATAGTTAAAAAAAA